CGTGATTTCTGAACGGCACCTGACGAGAGACTAGAGCCTCAAGAGTCTGTCTGTCTGTCCGTCTTTTGTTGCAGACGCAGGGGCGTCCGTGGCGGTGACCTTCGCCCCCCTCCCCCCTAGGCTTCGGCTCCAATTATTAAATACACCCACCTCCTCCGTACACCCGTTTCCTGACGGGTTCGACTTACCCCCCCCCCCTCTCCCCCCGTTTTTCACACCCCTCGTCGTCACTCAGTGTTTACTGTATGACACCAGTACCAGCGGCCGCGACTCTCGAAACTGCATCGCCGTTTCCAGGTTTCCAGATAGATGTTTCGCATTCACACCCTGGCTACCACTGGTTAGGCCATTCCACCTGAAAAAGTACAAACAAAAACGTCTCAGGGTACGGACATCAAATGATAAATTATACCTAGTAAGGGATCGTACCCATATTACGTGACATTTAGGGGGGGGGTACATAGATAATGGGGTCCCAAAAGGATCAAGAACATCATTGGCGTCCATAGCGGTCACAGAGTAAGGGCAGCATTGGGACGAGAGTATAAAAGATGAGGCGAGTCTCTGTGCCCTGAGGCAGGCCGACACCCTCCTTCGCGCTGCTGACTGACCCGCCCCGTGCGAGAGCGCAACGACGAGACCTGCAGAGAGTGCGGCCCGGGCGATGGGGACTGTGCCGGAGGAGCTGCAGCGGGGCACCAGCGGAGTGGCACAGTGTTTCCCATCTACTAAGGATGAACACGACTGTGGAGATCTTTTTTGATGGTAAAACTGCACCAGAAAGACTACGGTTTGTGTTTGTGTTGGAGCAGATTTTCTCATGACGGCGCTGATGACCGAAAAGTCTTCTTCTTGTCAGCCAAATCAATTTACCTGCAAAATATCTGGACGCTGAAATACCAATGAGTGGCATGGACTTGTGACACAGAGCCGCATCATGTCCGTGTCTCTCAGGTTCTCAGGTTCCTGCGGCTAAAAGGAGGGAGCTCGGCGCCTGCGAAATCCGGGATAGACCAGCCCGCAGTACACGCATGCACTGCAGATGAAAAAGTGCCTACCTGTCAGGCGCCATGAGAGCTTGCATACTGATATGGATTTTTGATTATTGGACATAAATTATGTTTTCGTTTTTAACCGAAAATAGTTCCAGAAACGCTCGATTGTGTCAGCATTTGGGGAAATATTTTAGGGTTTATTATCTCTCAAATTTTATTTCCTTTCCTTCGATTTTTTTTTCATTTTCCCCAGACAAATTCTGGACTAAGTGTAAGGACTCGTGCTACCTAGACTAAATGAAGTGCGACTGCGAGTGCCTACTGCAGGCCGAACCACCCGACCACTCAGAGGATGCTCGCGTGGAAAGAGCGAAGCATGCCTCCTGCAACGCAGGTTGCCACTTGCCACAGGCAAGCGGGGTGGGACCGGAAGACCTGAATGAGCGAGTATACGACAGATCCCAGGGGACTGTGTGCTAACACTGTTAAAAGATTATAGCCTACAGTGAGGCGACGAGCTCACAGAACGTCACTCAGCTCCAACCCCAGCCTCCAGCCCGTGGGTCGACGACGCGGTCAGTTCGTCCCTCGCGCGCCGCCGCCTCACCGCCTTGTCTCACACACCAGACTGCATCCGGAGGGAAGAAAAACAACAATACGAGCAGCAGCCGGTGTGTTGTCCTCTCTTGGTTGTGTGTTTGTTTAGATCCGCGGACAACATAACCTGCTCACACCGAGTACTTGTCCAACTCCAAACTGTGTTTTTCTGCTTAGCACTGCACTTTCTTCGACAAACCGGAGACCTCTTCTCTTTTGTCGCTTGTGCCGCGCGCTAGAAAGGACTGGACTGCCGTTCAGCGCTATTTGTTGTCGCTGTAGGCAACACATCAACCTGTAGAAGAGCAAACCTCTGGGTCGTTCGTTGGCTTTGTCGTGAAGGTGATCTAAAATTATTGATTGATTAAATAATAGCAGTACTGTAGATTCACAACTTTTAGTATTTGTAGTCCTTTAAATGTCCTCCTTACAGTGGCAAACTTTATCAAGATGAGTCTGCAATATAATTTTCTGTTGGTGTTGTGAACTCTCTCTGTTGCATCTAATATATTTCATGTTTTGTTAAACCAAACTAATGTTAGTGTTATCCTCTGCATTTCTTGTCTTATTTAGATGGATCTTCAGTGTGACATATGTTTTGCGGATTTTGATTTGGACACGCATCGTCCCAAGAACTTACCGTGTGGACACACCATCTGCAAAGAATGTGTCGAAAACCCCAATCTCGGGAGGAAGTGCCCCACTTGTAGGAAGGTGAGTCTTTTCTTGTCGACTGAAGAAACAATTTGGATATCAATGTGTGCAATTATTAAATTTGCTCGTTACATAGTAGTTATTTGACGTGATGTGCAAGTTTTACAAATCTCTTCAACACCTAGATTTTCTACTCTTGTACAGAATCACAGGCCTATGGTTGAAGTGGAAACAAATTGGTACCGGCTACTATATGTTATGGAAATCTCAAAAGTTTGCTAACCTTTTAACATATAATAGATCAGAATCAATATGGCTATCAGAAAAATAAATCTTGCATGGACGCAGTTGTTCATGCACATGATTTTATTCAGAAATGCAAATCCAAAAAGATAATGTGTATTGCACTATTACTGGATCTTAGCAAAGCCTTTGTTTGTGTTAACCACTCCACCCTCTTATCTATAATGGAAAGTTATGGTATAAGAGGTGTAGCACTTGATCTCGTAAATTCATATCTAGTAAATAGAACTCAATAAGTAGTTGGTATTGAGGACCATGAACTTCGTAAAGACATAATTTTTTCCAATAAGGGTAATGTGAAGGAAGGGGTTCTACAAGGATCAATCTATGGTCCCTATCTTTTTATTCTACACACGAATTGCATGAGAAAAATAATTAGCGAGGTAGCAGATTCAGAAATAATATTGTATGTAGATGATACTACTATCCTTATCCCGGGAAGTTCGATTGAAGAGTTAGAACAAAACTCTATCCTCATACTTGACAAAGTTTATTCCTTTTTTTCATTCTTAAATCTTGCTCTAAATCTCCAAAAAACAAGTTGCCTTCTTTTCAATAGTAAAAGCACCCAAAATTTAGAAATATCAATCAAAAACACAAGAATTAACATTAGTAATGAAGTAAAGTTTTTGGGTCTAAACTTTGCAAATTTAAACTTACAAATTAATTAATTTGTCAAATTTAACACCTTCCCAGTCTGTTCTCTCTGGACAGCAATACGTCTAAAATAATCGAAAAACATTTTTTTAATTTAAAAATGAGAAACTGGGATTTAGGGAAGAACATAACACAGGAGTGCAATACAATTCAAGTCTTTATTTTCTCTCGGCAACAGCCGGGTTCTCTGACTTAACAATTGATAACAAAAACGAATTTAGGCAATGGAACAGAAAGCATCACCCGATCTCCTTGTTTTTCCAGGATCTGGTGACGGATCCCGGCGACCTCCCCGACTCCAACATCGTCATCCGACTGATTGAAACCGGTGGCGTCCCACCCTGCAAGAAGTGTCGAACAGAGAACAGCGACCAGCAGCGGCTGCAGCGCGGCGTGGACGCGGGCAGGAAGGTGGTGGCGGCGCTGCGGCTGGCCGTCCCCAAGGCCGTGGAGGCGCTCAACCGCCAGCTGGACGCGGCCGTCGCCAGGCTCCGGCACCTGGAGAGGGCCCTGGAGAAGGTGCAGCGGAGTGCGGCAGGTGATGAGGGCACCTCACCGGCGCATCTGCAGCTGGCACGGCAGCTGGAGGACAGCCTCCGCCTGCTCACCACCACCAAGTGCAGCGTCGTCTCGGAGGAAGAAGGTGGATCCATCTGGAAGGCCGATGTGCAGCTCGACGGGTTCGGCGACGTCTTCCGCCTTCTGTTGCTGAAGCTGCGCGCGGACTGCGAGCTGGCCAAGGTAAGCCACCAGCCAGGACGGCCATCTCTGTTGATGCTCGGTGTGGTGTTCGGCCTGTTGTTCATTTGATGTCTCCTCCAGGTTGATGACATCCCCTGCTCCACCGCCGCTTACGTGGGACCACCAATGACAACCACCCTGACCATAACAGATGAAGATCTCTCTGAAAATGATTTAAAGGTGAATGACATCGTTCGCGACAAAGAGCGGTGGAAATATGTTCGCTGCATAAAGGGCTTGAAGGGCGAGGGCTCGGATAAACTACTACGTGTCCTGGCGTCGCACCCGGTGCACCTCGAGGAGCTCGGGTGCCCCGGTCCGGTAGAACCGAAGGTCATGGAGGAGGTGCTTAAACTGACTTCACTCAAACGGCTCGCCATCGAATGCGTTGACAAGTGTGACGAGTACCCGGACCTGCCGTTGCAGCTGGAAGAGCTCAGAATAGGCTCTCCAAGCGAGCGTCAGCTGCGCTTTGTGCAGCGTATGAATACCCTGCAGAGCCTAACGGTGAGGAATTACTTTGGTCCCAATGTAACTTTCACTCCCTCTCAGTATGGGATACTGCGCTGGCTGCACGTGTCCCTCAACACTGCCCACAAGCCCACTATGCTCTCCCTGGTCCGCGCGCACGCCTCGTCACTGCGGGAGCTGCGGGTGTACTGCACCGTCAGTGACGACGAACATTGTGGTGAGTTCTACTTCCCCGACTTGGGACAGGACCTGGCTGCTAGCGGTCTGCTGCACCTCAAGCGGCTCGTACTTCGCCGTCCGAAGGGCCTGTGCACGGATGTCGCTGGCTGCCTCATGCAGCTGCAGAACCTCCGCGGCTTCCTGCCCTCCTCGGTGGAGGTGGTTTGCTCCGCGTGTTAGACATCTTCTCTGTGATACTGCTTCTGCAGCACCTGCACTAAGAAAGAAGCTCCCGCCGTCCAAAAACATGTCATTCTATCAGTAAGTCGTGTGTGTTTGAGTGTGTGTGTGTGCGTGTGCGTGTGCGTGTGTGCGCGCGTAAGGTTTGTTTTTTAACTTGATTGTCTTAGAATAATAAAAATATACATTTATCTTGATTTTGTTTTACCACATTGTCTCCTTCTTGCCCATTGCCACACTTTCGGTTTGTCGGTACATCTAGCAGCTGGTTATACATTTCCTGCTGGTCCTGCTGCTCCGCTAGACCATCGGTGGAGAGTCAGAGGGGTGTCCCCGCCGCGCGTCCTGCATCGAACTAGCTGCCGGGGCGGTCGGGGGTGGGGAGGGGGGAGGGCGCCCGGCAGGGGTAGGCCACTCCCACCGGCTGCGAGCGCTGCGGGTGCGCCTACCTCTCAGACTAACTGCGTACCAAATGTTGGTACTCTCGGTGGAATTGGCACGGTATCGGGTGCGGCCAGCTCTGTAGAGGCCGGCAGGGCCAGGCGGCGGACTCACACGGCCTCGCCCGGCCCACCACCCGCGCACTCCCGCGCAGGAGGCGCGCGGCATCTGGGCCGTCGGCGGCATGGTGCTCCCCACGCCCCGTGGCCGGGGTGGGGCGGGGGGGTCACACACACACACACACACACACGCCAGGCCAACCCCCGTCCGCCGCAGCCTCCCCGAAGAACAATGACAACAACGGCGCGGCTGGCTTCCGTAGTGTTCCGATTGCCTTACCCAGAGAACTTGTGTGCTACTCTAAACTGGTGTTCGCCTGCCCGGCACTCTACTCCGACAAACAGCCGTGCTCTGTGTTCTGGTGGTCGCTTACTGTGCCGCCCGCAACTACAGACCACCTGGCTGGGCCTTGTCGTCGCCGTAACACAGCGATCCGTGGAAGAGCAGCAGCTGGGTCATTCGTCGGCAAAGTCATCTACAGAGCGAGTGGGAGGGGGGAGGGAGATAGAGCGAGAGACGCGCGCTCTGCAGCTAGTGAGGTGGAGCGAGCGCCTGACAGCGGCGGGGTAGGCCACCCGCCCTGGCGGCGAGCGCGGCGGGCGCGCCTACCCAGCAAGGCGGGACGCCCCCAGGCTGGGCCACTGGCTCGACACACCTGCTCAACGGGTCGGCCTACGCAGCGCGTTGCAGGCGCTATCGAGAGCCTAACACACCAGGTGGCTGATTCACCCCGCGCTCATTCGTAGTTATACCGTACCGTATGCACGCGTGCAAGGCGGGTTTCCTACTCGCACGGAGCCATAAGGAGCCGTGGGCAGCGAGCATAGGCAAACCCGCCCGCACCAAATTATTTTTCAAAGAATGTGAAAAAGAGGGGGTACCCACCCCGCTTTTACACGGGGCCCCGCGTGCTTAACTTCGGAGTTCGGATGGAATCCGGTGTGTCCACGCCAGCAGCCAGACTGTTAGATCCGACCAACTGATGGCCAGGGTTGTCGCCTACCCGCTTAAACAGGAACGACGGGTACCCAATTTGTTTTGCGGAGACTATCGTACGGTTGGTTAAACCGAACTGACCCCC